TAAAAATTCCAGCTCGTTCTAGGACTACTCTGTTTGGAACTTTGTCCTGCCAGGTGATACCAAAAATGCGTTGGAGACAACGCATATAGAACGTGTTCAGCTTCCTCTCCTGCTGTGCACAAAGGGTCCAGGACTCACTGCAGTACAGGAGTGTGCTCAGAACACAGGCTGTATAGACCTGGATCTTAATATATGCCATCAGCTTCTCTTTGTGAGCCTAGAGAACATGGTAGCTGCTTTGCCAATGCGTTCATCCAGCTCGACATCTAGGGAGAGAGTGTTAGAAATCGTTGAGCCAACGCACACAAAATCATGAACAACCTCCAATTCTTGCATAGAGATGGTAACAGAGGGAGGTGAGTCCACACCCTGGCCCATGACTTGTGTTTTCTTCAGGCTGATTGTTAATCCAAGGTCTTGGCAGGCCTTACTAAAACGATTCATGAATTGTTGGAGCTCTTCAGCAGAATGGGTAACAACATTGGCAAAGGGGAAGTCCCGCATGCATTTCAGCTGGACTTTGGTCTTCGCTGTCAATCTAGAGAGATTAAAAAGCTTTCCACTGATCTAGTCCGGAGATGGACACTTTCTGTTGCAGTTCCAAAGGTGTGCTTCAGCATGACAGCAAAAAAGATCCCAAACAGGATTGGTGCGAGGACACAGCCCTGTTTCACTCCACTTCGGATGTCAAAGAGATCTGGTGTTGAGCCATCAAAAACTACAGTGCCTTTCATTCCCTCATGGAAAGACCTGATGATGTTAAGGAGTCGAGGTGGACATCCAATCTTGGGAAGTATTTTTAAAAGGTCATCCCTGCTAACCAAATCAAAGACCTTTGTGAGGTCTATGAAGGCCATAAAGAGTGGCTGTTGTTGTTTCCTGCATTTCTCCTGCAACTGTCTGAGGGAGAATACCATGTCAGTGGTGGATCTATTGGCTCGAAATCCCACAACGATTAGAAATAAATAAAAAAGCAGCAATGTTTTTCAGGTATGTTTCTGAATGAAATCAGAGTATATTAAGGAATGTAATTTATTTCCACATTAGGTTGTTGACTAAGTGGGTAGATGGCCCACCCAAGTCAAAAGACATCTATACATATATTTGGAGATTAGTATGTACATGTATAAATAGGTGTGTGTGTGTGTAGAACATTTTATATAAAATTTTGAAAGTCATTTTGATAAATTGTTAAAGGCTCCACAGAAAACTGAACTTCCTTATAATGTTCCAGCATCTTTTTGGTTAAAATGCAATGTGTGAAATTCAACACTATACAAGGCAATTTTCACTTCCATAACAGAACTTTCCCATTCTCTAAATCCCTCCCCCTGAAGATCTAGCATGCTCTTTAAATTTGTTCCCAGGAGGACCTCCTTTCTTTTAATCAAAGTTAATACCTTTTAGATTAAAAAGACAAGACAGCTGGCAGACCAAAAGTTTACTACACTTGCACACACACGTTACAATACACTGTGTAATGTGCTTGGACAGGTAAGCATTATCATTCTTATTTCACTCAAAACGAACTAGTTTCAGAAACTTCAGCACATCTTACACAACCTGACACAACAAAAGCCTGGTACAGCAGAAGCATTCATAAAGCACGGAGCCTGTTGGTCACCCATATGAGCAAATCACAGACAGCATAAAGAAGGGGAACAGGTTAATTACCAGTAACTGTAGTTCTTTCAGAGGTAATCTTTGAATTCATATAATCCATCCAACCGCTCTGTTTACCATGCAGATATTAGTCAGAACTGGAGATGGGAATGGAAAAATAGCTTTTGGCTGGTAAAGCATAAGCTATATTTGATTCGGCTGTTGGCTGTTTAGGCTCTCTTTTAAATTTACATGTATGGGTATCTGTGTAGACATCCTCTTAATCTTCCAGAACCTAAAAAGCCATTAACCGAACGTTCTCCCATAGTACCTGCTCCATCAGTTAACGGCTATTTCTCAGTTCCCATATCTGCAGCTGACTTTAATATCTACATGACAGACACAGGATATGTTGTTGTTGTTGGGGTTGTGTGAATTCACAGATGACCGCTCAAAGAACTACACTTACAGATAACTAAGGTGTCCTTCTTTGGGGTCTGTGATTTACACATAATAGTGAGGCCAAGCTCAATTGCCAGCTGGTGGGATGTCACACCAACACCAATGATATTACAGTCCAACCAAAGGATGCACTGAACTTCCTGACATTCAGCTTGTAGAGCGTTACAAACGTAATGGGCTGAGATGAAGTTGCTGCCTTGCAAAGCGCTTTCATCTTAATTCCCTTCTGGAAAGCTCCTGAAGCAACAACTGCTCTTGTAGAATGACCTTTTAAAGAATTTGGCAATGGTTTCTTTGCCAACTGGTATGCTAAAGTAGTAGTATTCACTAGCCATTTAGATATGCATTGTGATGAAATTTTGTTAAGCATTCTTTGGCATTGGTAACAAATAAAAAGCTCATTAAAAAG